AAACCCAGGGACAGAGACACGGTGGGTGAAGTAACGTGGGCTAGAAGAGACCAGCCTGTCGCCCGGACCCAGCTGTGGCAGCGTGTTGGGGTCCCCCCGGATCCTGCCACCCCATAGCTGCAAGGACAGGCTCCGCCAGCCAGTAGAATGGAGCTTCTCCGGGATACAGCCCAGCACAGACAGGATGTGGTTACAGGAGTCGGGGCCAGGATGCCTCAGCCCCCTTGGGGCAGGGGGGCCATCGCCCCCCCCCCACCCCGTTTACCCAGTTTAATCTGTTCCCTTCATGTTTTCTAGCCAGAAACTGCCCCTCCCAGCCCTGCCCCCAGCCAAGTGTCCGTCTCCTCCTCCCTCCCTTTGTCTCTCCCCTGGGAAGAGACTTACCTGCTCAGGTTGGGACTAGGTGTCTGGGCCAATACACAGGTGGGGGAGTCAGTGGGAATCACACAGCGCAGGGGAACCCCAGGTTACAGCACGACAGCCCCCTCCTACTACGTCACACAAGCGCTCGGGGAAGGCGACAGGCGGGTCCCTGCTATGGACCAGCAGGGAGGGTTTGCTAAACGAAAGGGCTACCAGCAGCAAGACGCCCCTTGCCTCTAGGTGGGTAATTCACACCTCTGCCCTCGCAGGCCAAGGGCCGGTTAGCTGCTTGTAGGTGCTTCGTAATGAACCATCGGAGCAGAATCCGGTGAGACTGGCGGCTTTTTGGGCTGCGAGCTCCCAGACTCCTGTGTGAACAGGGATGCGGTGAGCAAGACACGAGGAGTCGTTCTGCCGCTCGGCACTGTGCTGACGAGGATTGGGTCCAGTTCTGGGCACCATATTTCAGGAAAGATGGGGAGAAATTGGAGAGGGTCCAGAGAAGAGCACCAAGACTGATGAAAGGTCGAGAGAACACGAGCTAGGAGGGCCGACTGGCCGAACTGGGCTTGTTTAGTTTGGAAAGGAGAAGACTGAGAGGATACGATAGCGATTTTAAAAGGGTGTGACAAGAAGGAGGGAGAATAATTCTTCTCCTTAATATCTGAGGACAGGACACACAGCAATGGGCTTAAACTGCAGCAAGGCAGGTGTAGGTTGGACATTAGGAAAAACTTCCTACCTGTCAGGCTGGCGAAACACTGGAAAAAATTTCCTAGGGAGGTTGTGGAATCTCCCTCCCTGGAAATATCTAAGAGCAGGTTGGACAGACACCTGTCTGCAGGTATGTCTGCACTGCATTTTTTCCCGTTCTTCCGAAAAAGCTTCACTTACGTGCACACTGCAATCGCTTTCTTTCAAAAAAAAATCAAAAGAACAGAGGGTGTTTTCCGACATTGGTACACCTCTTTCTACAGGGAAGAAGCCTTGTTCTGAAAGCTCTTTCGGAAAAAGGCATGTGGACGGGGAAAAGGGAGTTCCTTGGCAAGAAGAGGAAAAAGCCCAGCAGCCCTGGTGGCCACTCCGCCCATAGCAATGCCAGCTTCCAGGCGAGAGAGCGTCCATTCAGTGTGGACGCTCTTTTGAACAAGCAGATGGCTTTTTCGATGCGCTTTGGCAGTGCGGACGCTCTCGTTCGGAAGAAGTTTTTTCAGACGATGTCTTCCGGAAATGCTTCTTCCAAAAGAAGCCTGCAGTCTAGGCATAGCCAGGGATAGTTTAGACCAGCGGTTCCCAAACTTTCTGGCATCACGCCCCCTTTTTGATTTTTGAGAAACCCTCATGCTCCCCCCTCCCAAAAAAATAGCAGCAACACTTGGGGTGGGATTGACGGGGGGGGCTGGGTTGCCTCGTGCCCCCCAGGGGGGCACGCCCCACAGTTTGGGAACCCATGGACGGTGCTTGGTCCTGCTGTGGGGGCTGGGGACTGGACTCGCTGACCTCGTGAGATCCCTTCTTGTTCCAGGAGGGTATGATTCTCTTGGGCAGGGAAGGGGCAGGCAGTCCCGGAGGCGCGAGCTGTGTGAGGTGCAGTCCGCCCTGGCTGCCCAGGGGGGTCTCAAAAGGGCATTTGACGTCGGATGGGAATCCCTGCCGGCCGTGGGGAGGGGCTGGGCTCCCGACACCAGAGATGCAGCAGGGCTGTTGCATTAGGCTGCTCCTAGGAGCGGAGTCCCTGCTGTCCCCTGGAAGCGCATTTCCCCCTGTAGTCAATGCCCCTGCTTCCCCTAACCCCTGAGCGCTCCGAAGGGCAGGGGCTCTCCAGGGGTCTGGAGGGGCCCAGACGCCGGGGGTGGTGGAGTGGGGGACGCCACGGGGGAGGCGAGACGGTTTTATCTGTGGGTGAGAGATGCTTTCGAGCCGCCGCGTGCTCTTCGGTGGGAGAGCGCGTGACACCGAGAAATGAGCGAGGGGCCCGGGCCCGGCAGCGGGGGCGACGGCAGGCGGGGCAGGGGGCTGTCACTCGGCTGAGCACAACGCCGCGAAGGTTGTCACACCAGCCAGGCAGAGGTGGGGGCCTGCTGTGCAAAACGGGGCCAGAAGCCGCCCAGAGGTTGTTTCTCTCTCAGCTGCGCACAGGCCTGGCCCTTTCGCTTTCGTTTCTGGGCCACCCAGCTCTTATTTCAGTTTCCTCTAAATCACATGAGTCCTGCTGGCGGGGCCCCCTGGTGCTATGGGGTAGGGTGGGGTGCAAGGGGGGGCTGGGACTGCACTGCATGGAGTCACAGCTGTTCTCTAGGGCTGGCAGGACCCCAGGATGGGCCTGGCTGGAGGAGCGGCTTGCACTAAAGTGGTTGGGGGAGTGGGGCTGGTAAGGGCCTTTGAGGAAGAAGGGGGCGTGCCCTGGGTCTCCTCCCCTAGTCCTGACCCGGCGGGGGCTTCCTGAGCAGCCCCACCCCCAGCAGCTGCAAGCTGAGCCCCCACAAACTCATCCCACCCCGTCCCCCTGCTGGGACTGCCACTCAATCCTCGTGCCCCGCCCTCGCTTGAGTCGCTCACGTCCTCTCTCTGTATGCAGATGAGCCACTCAGCCCTGACCAATCAGAAGCCAGAGGGCGGGGCCCCTAGTTCTTTTCTCTCAGCCCGCCCCTCCCTCCAACCGCGCT